GCTTTGGCAATATGAAAATAAAATATGTCCAACCCAGCTGTCTGGCTGTTGGTGATCTTATTGTGTGAAATGCAATTATTATACAGCGGTCATTTATTAACTTTGGATATTTTCATGCTGGCATTGATTTCATGCTCATTTGCGGTCCAAAATGATGCGGAACCATCACATTTTTCCAACTCGCTGCCGCCTCCTTTAGAGCCCATTGGAGAGTGCCACAGGGCTGTTACCAGATTTGTGGTAACCTTTTCCACGGTTGGGTCCTTGTGGATTTGTTGTAGAGCAATATTATAGAGCAATGTTGAATGGTTTTTCCATTGGCAATGGGCAACAATATTGTATCTGAATCCATTTACCCGGTCTCTCCTGATTGCCCATTGACTGCATCAAGTTGCCCTCTTTATTGTCACATTTTATAGTTTTAAGGCGCAATAACAATAAATGACGATACTAAAGGAGAAAATACTAAATTATATGTAGTTAATACTTTGTAGAAAAGCCTTTTTTTTTTTGGTAATGACAGCTTCAAGACACCTCTTTTATGGAAAATGGAGTTGCTTGATTTGTAATGTCTTTTTTCTTCCTCAGACTTCAACAGTCTAAAGATCTTGACATTTTTGCGGGTCTCCTCTATCAACTAAGATCGTTAGTTCTTATCTTAGGTGCCAAATCCAGTTTCTAGAGGGCTGCAGCTCTTCACAGTTTAGCTTTATTCCTAATTAAACACACCTGATTAAACTAATTCAGTCTTTCAGGCTTGTTTGAAACCTACAGATATTGCTGTAGTCACATTAGAGCAGGGATCACCAAACTTGTTCCTTAATGTCCGGTGTCCTGCAGAGTTTAGTTCCAACCCTAATCAAACACCAGACCTCCAGGAACGAGATTGGTGACCCCTGCACTAGAGTCTGTGCATGCGAAATTCTGTTGTATGGCACTGCAAAAAGGGACGGGATAAAACAAGAAGATTTAAAAAAGCGAGTGATTGGTCAGTATTTAAAATTTCTGTCCAGAGAGGTCATGTTTTGATCTTCGATTGGTCTCTCTCAATCATGTGATGCGATTTTGCAGGTCACAGTTCACCAAGCTTGAACCTTTAGACGCAGCGAACTGCGAAACGTGTCGCACAAGCTTGTGTTTCCGGTCCGACGCATTCACGTGCGTATGAATGGAAGTCTATGAGGAGAAAAGTCCAGTGTGACCGCAGCTTGTATGTGTTGAAGTCAAGCTGGAACTAAACTGTGCAGAGCGGCGGCCCTCCAGGAACTGGATTTGACACCGGTGTTCTACTGGATTCAGCTCAGGTGATTGTCTGGGCCAGTCTAGCAGCTTTATTTTCTTTTCTGAAAGCAGTTGACAGTTTCCTTGTCTTGATTTGGAGTTGTTGTCTTGCTAAAATATCCACCCTGGTTTAATTTTCATCTGGTAATATGGGTGTTGGGACTGAAGCAGCTAATATTCATTTACACTGAGGTAGGGTTGCTGAATAACTACTGAGAGATTTCTGTTGCTGACTTGCCTTTACATGCTCTTTCTATATATATATACATCAAATCATAATCATTGGGCAGAATCTGAAAATGTTTGATGCCCAACCACTGTTGATATTGTCATAATTATTCATTAGGATTCAAACATTTACAAAAAAATCTTCTCATCCACCACCAGTGTGCACCATCCATCTGGATGACACGACAGCAGCCATATTGTGCCAGACCCCACACCACATACTGTACCAGCTGATTGGTGGAGAGGAGACAGCATGATGAAGCCAATTATGATATGAGGATAATTAGAAGGCCATGCTGGACAGAGGTCAGTGGGCAAATTTGGCCATGATTCCGGGGTTAAACCCTTACTCTTTTTCAAAGGACATCCTGGGATTTTATCGACCACAGAACATCAAGCCCTCGATTTAGCATCTCATCCGAAAGACGTTTAGTAAAGCTGAGAATGGATTATCTCATATCTGCACTAAATCATCTAAATCATAATTACTGCCCTTTAGTTCTCATAATCCTTCTAGTATTAAGTTTGTTTTTAATTTTTATTGCCTAAATAACATATTAGCTACATTAAATATGGATGCCTGGTATTATGGGTTTGATCAAATCCATGTATGATAAAGGAATAGGTCATCTTGATACAGTACATTAGAAATGTCTTTTATTGTCAGTTTGGGAAAGAGATCTCTGTCAGACTCTTGCCAAACCATCATAAGTAACACTTCAATTCCAACATATGTTTATATTTATATATATATATATAAACTCTCCATCAAGACTTCACAATAAAGTACTGTATGTTTACAAGGAGGCTCATCAGAAGCCCAATGGAGAAGGTCATAATCCTGAGCTCGTAGAATATATTATTTACAAAACATGAGCTACATTTGCATTGTTGCTGCATTAGTACAAATTGGCTTTTCTTTAGAATTTCATTCATCCAAAAAAGTCTTTGAGGCGTTTCAGGTATCAAAGAGCTGAATCAGTATACAAGTACTGATATGGTAATCAAATGAACAATTCAGTCTCCATATCAAAACAGAAGTACTTTCTACATCAGGGGTGGCCAAACTCGGTCCTGGAAGGCCGGTGTCCAGCAAAGTTTAGTTCCAACTCCAATCAGACACACCTGGGCTAGCTAATCAAGCTCTTACTAGGCTTTCTTGAAACATCCGTGCAGGTTTGTTGAGGTGAGTTGGAGTTACCTTCTGCAGGACATCAGCCCTCCTGGGCTGAGTTTGGACACCCCTGTTCTACATTATTAACCATAATGGCATAACAGTCCTTAAAATGGGAAAAATACTGACTGTTAAAATGAATAATTCAAACTTTATATAATGAACTACATCAGTGGTTCAAAGTAAACCCATTGTATTAGTTGTAACTCATAGCGTATTTTGGGCAATTGTGCACACATAAGCAAAACAGACAAAATGTGACCGTCAGTTGTGATCATCATTAATATATTAAGACTAACCAAATTCAAAAGTGGCTGCTGGCAAATTGTCCCTTATGTAAAAATAGTAATAAGGCAAAGCAAATGTTTGCACACTCTAAATAAGTGCCTGTATGAAATGAAGACTTCCACCGTCCTCAGAAAATGACTGCAATAATATTAGACATTAAAGAAGAATGAATATCTACTTGGCAAAAATACTTCTAAAATCCAAAGCGGTCTCTAATATCCTGTTTGTAAAGTTATTGTGAAGCCAATAAAAAGCAGAGGATGCCTCAAACATCAACTGTGATTGTAGTGGGGAGAATGAGGAGGAGGAGGAGAGTCTAGCTGTCTCCGCGGACCGTCTTCCGGAGGATCCTGAGACGGGACATGACCTCGTCCCAGTCCAGATACGCTCCTTCTAGATGTCTTAAGTTCTGCCCTCGAGACTGGTAGCTCTTTCGGCCGTGCAGCAGACGCCAGTTATCGAAGGTCACCACATCACCTGCATACAGCAGATCAGATAAAGTCAACAATCTCTTCTTTATTTATACGTGTCAAAACAAAGGTTTTACATCTGTTTTAGAATAACACCAATGTTAATTAATTAATTATGTGAGTAATTTGTTTTTCAATAAATACACTGCCAAAAAAAAGCTTTTCTTACAATTTGCCTTGGTAAAAGTGGGGTTTTCCTTAAAAAAAGTAACATTATCCTGTTTTTACTTGGAAATAAGCTTATCTTGTTTTAATGAATAATACACTTTCTTGAAATTTCTGGAAACAAGACTATTTGTTAATGTAGAAAAATGCTTCTTGATTTAGGAATGTTTAGGTATTTGAAATATAAGCAAGATAAAAACTCTGCACACAAGAAATCTGCGCACATTTCTAGTAGATTTGATGAAGTCAAGTTTGTAACTGGTGTTTAATTTTTATTTTTACTTATTAAGACTCAAAGATTGTGACAAAGGGGATTTGGAGAATCTCCTTTTATCACTATATAGTTTACGAGAAAATGTAAATAGATAGAAAAAATGATCACAATTGTTTTGTTGAATAAATAAACATTGCATATAATTAGGCACAAATCCCTCTCTGAAAACCTTCAGACTGGAATTGAATAAAACCGTGAAGTTTGGTGTACAAGTGTCGACATATCTTCTAGTTGTTTAGGTCATCAAGTCAGTATTTGTTAAAAGCTCCCAGATCAAAGTTAAAGAAATAGGGAGACCAGGCTTTTCCATTGTGTGCCCCCAAATTATGGAACGATTTACCTCTTACTATTAGAATAACCTCTACAGAATCCATGTTCAACCTGTTAGAAAAGGCTTATCTGAGTTATCTGAGCCTGCTGTTTTTATGTATATGCTTTATGTACTGTATGTGGTTTTATTCCTTTAATCTCATTTGATATTTGATATGAATGTGTATCGCCATGGAAATCTACAGACACCAAATGATAAAGTGAAATTTTGTAGGTTCTCTTTCTGTTAGACTGAAAATTGCTTCACGAAAAGCCAAATGTTTTTTAATATAAAGCATGAAAAAAAGTTTAAATCGCTGTTTTCCCCTGCAGTTTCTTGACTTGAAAGGTAAATTAGTTTTAAAAGCACAGACCCAAATTGAAATGCAGAAAAACAATTTTGCAAAAAAATCGAGTGTGACCTGGCTCCATTCTGTAAGTGAAGACATTCTCCGGCCGGCTGAGCAGCTCCACGAAGGCCTTCAGAGACGAGTAGAAGGGCTGAACCTGATGCAGAGGCAGATCCAGCACTGAGTCTCGAGTGGCATTATTATAGTTGATCCTCACAACCCGACCGGATGAGTCCACACTGCATATTACACACAAGATTAAACTTCAACTTAGCGTGAAAATACCAGATGTGATAGTCTCTTCTTCTCTGTTGTGTCTGTCTTCTAAATCATATTATCAAAAAGTAAGTTTAATAAACTTAAATGTGAGCCAAATTAGCCCCATAATGTAGTGAAATGGTAATAGAAAAATACTTCAAAGTATATTACTAGTACGCAGTAGTAGTCAATGTACCTACAAGTTGAAATGAAAGGCAAGTTTATTTATATATCACATTCCATACACACAGTCGCAATTTAAAACAAGAATAAAAAAGACAAGAATAAGAAAATTAAAAAACATATAATAGAAATTATTAAAAACAGATTAAATGTGTTAAAACAGGTTATACAAGAATGAAAAGAAAAGAAGAGAAAAACATGATAAATTGCAGTTCAGAGTCAAAACGGTACACAACAACTTTAACGTATGACTCAGTTTATTATTATTACACTTAAAGCATACTTATACTAGTTGACCATTTCGATTTCACGGTGTTAAAAGACAGGTATCAACGCTCTAGATCAGGGGTCACCAATCTCGGTCCTGAAGGGCCGGGGTCCCTGCAGGGTTTAGCTCCAACTTGCCTCAACACACCTGCCAGGATGTTTCAAGTATACCTAGTAAAACCTTGATTAGCTTGTTCAGGTGTGTTTTATTAGGGTTGGAGCTAAAATCTGTAGGACACTGGCCCTCCAGAAACAAGTTTGGTGACCCCTGCTTTAGATTCTAGAACACCTGATTGTGATTGGTCAATCGCCTTTTTACGATTGTTGTTAACGAGAATTATAGTTTTTTTGCGTTTCGATTGACTGTAAGACAACAAAAGGTAAGTTAAGGTGAGAAAATATTTCTTTGTCATCATGAAATAGCCAACAACAAGCCAGGCGTTCAAGAAAACAATAAGGAAATATCAGCCTCTCTGGTTTAAACTGCGATAACAACCGACTTTGTTTGCCTGTATAATCACCATCTTTCTATCCCTAACCGTAACAATATTCTGTCTTGATGTCGTTTATAATTATAATTACATAGGAAGACACCTGCATTCTCATTTATAAACTATAGTATGCTTTAATTTACAGAAATTCCCTCAGTTATTCGTTTAATTTCCACAACCAACCATGAGATGGCGCTCTTTAGTACATTATTTACATTAACCTGATGATGAAGATGACTTGGGACAAAGCAAATCCACAGTACCATGATAAAAAAATGTGTGCGACTGTGCGTGTGTAGGAGTCACAGTCGGTCTTACTCTATAATGTGGTTTTTGGACTGCACACTGAAGTCGCAGTAGTCAGCACCGCTGTCTGTGAAGTCCACCCTGAGAGAGGAGAGGATGTTAAACGCCTCTGGATCTTCCCTGCGGAGCTGCTCTGCCATGTGAAACCCATCAACCACCTCACTCTCACCACCCTCATCAGCCTGACGGACACAATGTAGGAACTGCACCTACACACACACACACACACACACACACACACACACACACACACAATCAAATGTTATCTTATACATAAAAGCAGTCCTCTCAGACATTACACAACAAATATTTATACATACAGTGCCTTCCCCTAATGTTGGCACCCTTTTAAAATATAAGCAGAAAAGGCTATAAGTGGAAAAAAGTCTTTATTGCTCAAAATTCTGACCTTTTGTTCAAATTGTTTACAATTTCAAACAATTTTTGGTGAAGTTGTATTGTAGTTTTAAGACCTAAATAACTTCATAAATTTCTAACAGTGCTTTGGTAAATACAGACACACATTCTCTTGAATTAAAACACATCCAGTTGACTAAAATTTCATCATTATGGCCCTGATGTTGGAAATGGTTGTTTTCAGTGTTTTTGCTATTTTCTTAAAAAAAAAATTGTATGAATTTTATAAAAGATTTATATATATATATATATATTTTTTTTTTTCACAAAACACAGCTCACAGTACTTTGGTTTTGAGTTAGGCTCTGTGTTACTACTGTTTACACATATTTACATCCTTGTTAAACAGGAGGTCATGGTTGAACAATTTCCTGTTCCTAGTCATCCAGAAGTATTAAACATATGTTGTTAACAATAATAATAATAATAATAATAATTTGAAAATACATAAATCCAAAATATTTAGCTCATATGAATTCAGGGGGCTACCAATAATAATTCTCAATGCGAGCGATTTCTTCATTAATATTTTTTACAGCCTTCTCAACTCATTTTTGCCTATATGTGTGCTGAATACTGCATGTATGTAAGCATGTTTGCTGTATGTATAATGAAGGAAAGTCCCTTCTAAAGCAAAAAGAATCATATTCAGTTAATGACTAATGCAGCACAGTATGGTATGGGAGTGTGTGTAAACTGACCCCAGGTGGATGATGGAGAGCAGGGTAATCTGTGTGCAGACTCAGTTCTCCAGAAGTGTAGGCAACATTGTTAGCCATGGGCTTGTCCTGCACTTGCCACGTGTGTCTGTAAAAGCAAGCGGACAATGGGTCAGAACAGGTGACTATGGGCTTGTAAAGTTTTACTACATCTCTCCATGTATTTATTGTAGGAAACCACAGCTGTAAAATGCTTACTTGATTTAGTACCGTCTTGCGAGTAAATTTAAAGACTAAGGAATCACTGCAATGAACAAAGCAGACATTTTTGTTATGGCAACACACAGAGAGAAGTTAATAGTGATTTAGATTTTTTTGTATTTGGTTGTAAATGCTTGACGAACCTGCTATCTGCAAAACTAAATAAATAGACCTATAAATAAGTCAAATAAATTTAATGATTACAATCAGTATTTCTGACTTGTTATTAAAATAAAGAATGGTTTCAGAACCAAAAGGGTGTAAAATGATTTTAAAAAATTGAATAAATATATTTATATTATACTCCCAATTTTTAGTTTAAATGATGAGTTTTTTTGAAGTAGTACTTATTTTTTTAAATAAACAAATATTAAACATTAAACTAGATAAAATTAATTATTATGGGATAGAGGTGACACAGTGGCACAGTGGGTAGAACTTTCACCTCACAGTAAGAAGGTTGCTGGTTCGAGCCCCGGCTATGTAAGTTGGCATTTCTGTGTGGAGTTTGCATGTTCTCCATGTGTTTGCGTGGGTTTCCTCCGGGTGCTCCGGTTTCCCCCACAGTCCAAATACATCCACTATAAGTGAATTAGGTAAACTAAATTGCCCTTAGTGTATGTGTGTGAATGAGTGTGTATGGATGTTTCCCAGTGCTGAGTTGCACTTGAAAGGGTATCCAGTTCATCCCGCTGTGGCGACCCCTGATGAATAAAGGGACTAAGCCGAAAAGCAAATAAATGAATGAATGAATAATTATGGTATGTATTTGTCCAGAAATAGCCCATTTGGAGTCTATAAATGATTGAGTTCCTAATGAAACACTGTTGGCTTGATAACAAAAAATAATGCAGGTTTGGCAGCACAACCTTTAGGCATGTTTAACTTCTGTAAAATACAATTTTCTCCAGTTATTAAACTGAGAACAAAGGAAGGAAAAGGAGTAAAAATGGGAAATGAGGCAGATTAGTGGCCTCAATAAGACCGTTCAGGCCATATTAGAAACCAGAATCCTTCTTGTCAGACACACCATAGCCTCCGCCTTGAACCAGAGGATCCCTAGCCAATAAAAGTCTTGATTTGGCAGATGCAATGCTTTTTGTTCCAGACCGAGTCAGGTGAAGCTGTGTTTTGGCCAGTTTGACCGAGCTCCAGGGGTTAGTAGGATTTTAAATCACTTAGCCTGTCACTTAGCAGGTGTCAGCTGAGAGCGAGCTTGACGTGCATGGCTTTGTGATTATAGCCAGAAGCTCACGGTGTGTCTGTCTCTTCCCTCCAGCCCCTCTATCTGTCTTTCCTAGGCTGTGAAAGCTTTCCATTTACTCATCCTGCCTATTAAAAATGTTCTTTGCATGTTCTTTTGAAAGGTTTTGGTGTTTGGCACATACAATAAAGCAGACAGTCAATGGTTTTTGATTAACACAATGACTTTGACTCACTGATCATTTTCCAGTGAGTCTAGAGCAGTAGAACAAGCTTAATGGAGTGTACAGTAAAGCTCTTTCACATCATCTCTCATTCATTTAGATGCTGTCAGAGGATGTTTTCTGAAAACGGAACAACGTTTTTTGGCCAACAGTTGCAGCACAAAATGTTTTCGTCAAACGATGGTGAAGACAGATGACTCAAACCGTGATATCAGTGATAATCTTTTACAAACGGAACTGTTCTATAGACTGGCACTGTGGCTGCATTATCAATTTAACACACTTTATTCTTTCCCTCCGTAGCCAGAAAGTGTAGTAAAAACAGAAATGTGACTTTAGGCCTTGAGATAAAGATGAAATGTCAAACATTATTCTTTTTAGTGTTGGGCAATATAACTAAAATACCATAATGCTGCAAAAGGCAACACATTTAAAAAAATTAAATCTTAAGAAGAGATGTGTGACATAAGATGCACCTGGCCTTGTGTTCTTTGGCTATCGTAGAGACTCTTCAGACATAATGAAACAGCTGCCTGAGACACTACAGATCTTTCATAGTGTCTCCTACCAGACTACTGTGGGTTGAGGGACTGTTTTTTTTCCTTCAGTTACAAACCTGTCCAGATGTAAAGCATTAGGGTGGAAGATCTAACCACATTACTCATCACACCATATTACACTTTCCATGACTGATGGGTTTGTGCCCTCTGCAGCAGGTTATTTGTCTTGCTTTGTAATATAGATCTTGAAGTGAAAGTGGCAGTTCTGGCATATATGCCATTTTTGCCCAGTCTCTGATGTAAACAGAGTCACAGATGTTTAAAATCTATTTAAAATGTTGTGAAAGTGTGTTTTTGAGAAACATAGTTCAAAGAGTGAGCCCACTTTGCATTAGCAGTGTAACTTTGAAATGCATAACTATTTCTCGTATAGTATTATTGACAGACTAAATATTTTTGCATCCATTTTGCACCAACTTTTCAGAAAACCACCAGGAAGATTTTCAAACTGTTTTGGGCTTCTAAGATATTGTGACTCCTATTATACCAGGGGTGCCCAAACCTGCAGAGTTTAGTTCCAACTTGCTTTAACACACCTACCAAATCACCTATAAATCCTAAATTTAAAGAGCACACTATTTGAGGGAGCAGCTATTTGTAGAATGGTGACTGAAACCATAGTGAATGTTCTGAAGTGGACTTGATCAATCCCACAGTGCACTGTAACGCAAAACTGTTAGAGTTCATGCGCCAAATTAATTACAGTGTCTGACTATAAGATGGCAACCACAACGGAATCCTATTGGCATAAGCATCAAAATAATATATTATTAAAATGAAGTAACATTTGTATACATGACAGACATAAAAATGAATTGTTACATTACTAATATACAGCTTACTAATTATCACAGCTCCAAGAAGTTTAAAATAGAACCCGTTTGATGGATTTATCAACCTGCAAAGCACAAACAAAATGGCATCCCTTTCAGTACACTCAGTGCTCCAATTCAGTGGTCCCCAAGCCCTGGTCCTCGTACCTGCACTGGTCCATAAATCCATTGGTACTGGGCTGCACAACAAATCATTAAGTATTTCATTTTATTTACTATCCGAGTCTGAACAATTGTTTATTTTGAATTTTTTAATTTCTAATTTAACAAAATTAGTAAGAAACAGATGTCTTTGGAAAGTTTCTATGCAAAGTTTCTATGCAAAAGGGGAGAGGAAGGACCCACAAACTGCCAAGGAATGGATCCGCAACCCATTTGTCTATAAATCAGGTGAATCCAGCATGTCTGTGCAAAAGATCAACTGCTGGATATTGCAAATGACGGAAGCCCTGTTCACATATTGCATTTTTTTCGAGCACAAGTTCATTATTTCCAATGGAGGCTTGCAGCTTCCATGCATGTCTAGTTGAAAACGTCTTAACTATTCAGAACGAGTCACGTGACAAGAACTGACCAAACAGCTTCATATTTTTTTATGGAATATACACATTTTGGTAGACTCGTCATCTCAGATAAACACAGAACACCCAAACACTGCGTGTTCTTTAAATTTTCCAAAATTAAAACTTGTATCTGAGTTACAGCAATGTTTTGTCAGTTTTTCATCCTCTGCGAAAACAGTTGATGGTCACCTAGCAATCTACATACACTGTCCAACCCACCACCACCAGGCCGCAGCAAAATTGCCAAGCGTTGACTGGTCCATGGTGATAAAAATGTTGGAGACCATGCTCCAATTCACTCACTCATTTTCATTCACTTCATCAAGTGTACTATTTTAAGAAAATGTAATGATGGCATAGGGGCAATTTTGGATACAGCCCCAGTAAGATCTTGATTAGCTGGTTCAGGTGTGTTTAATTGAGGTTGGAGCTAAACTCTGCATTAGACCGGCCCTCCAGGAATAGAAATATTATAATACATCTGTCATTACTAACAAAACAGACATTTTAAAGCCAATGCTACAGCAGTGTCAAACTTTCAGCTCATACCCATAAAAGGTGAGGCGCAGGTAGCCAATTCTCTGGCTGAGTCTGGCCAACTGGCCCTGTTCCGCTGGTGCCCCCCTCAGGTAGACTATGCCAATGCGTCTCAGAGCTTCTAACCAGGCCAGTGCAGCCTTGTCGTCATGTAGAACCTCCTCGAAATCTGCTGTGGGGATCTGGAGACCAGAGTCCCAATACTCACGCTCTGAAACACAGAAATCCATATACATAAACATAAAGCAATGACACAACTAAGAAACAAAGCTCAAGTGGTAAATTACAAAGAAGAATCAACAGTGGCTCCACTCTGCATAATTATGTGGGAATGATGTCAGCATTACTTAAACAGTAGCTAAACTCTTTTCCAAGTTAAACATGTTTTTCTCTTTATCTTTTCTATCTCCGTTACTCACTCTCCAAGTGCACTGATTTACAATGCAAATAAACAGATGATAGAAACTTCACACTTACTCTTGCCTACCGTAAAACCAGCTCCAGTGTCTGTTTTTGCATAATGAAGGATCGTGTGTGTGGGTGTGTGTCAAGGATCAGGCCAGAACACATTGGTCAGAACACTGTGTGAGGGCCTGCATGTTTGAATGTGAAGGGAAACTGCTGGAAAACTCTGGTTCCTCAGTCTACTTCCACAGACGTTTACTCTAGAGAAGTGCGCACGTGTGAGCAAGAGTTCTGCACTCATGTGTGTAATTCACTGTTTAGACTTCTATTGCAGTAGAAGTACTTTTCAACCCCACACCTCCTTTGCAGTTTCTCTCAATTTAGAAAATTGTTCCACTGGATAAATTGGCACAAGCAGACACTCCAAAGACCAATATCGCTCTGAAAGAAAGGAACTTTTCCACAGATTATGTAAATGTGAGAGCAATATAAGCATTATGAGACCTCTGTCAACTTTTGGTGTTGAAAGTTTTCCTTTCAGTTTAGCAGAATTTCTTTTGTTACATTTCTAGTAGTTTGAAACAACATTTTGTTGTACATATGAAAGCACAGGCATGTCATTATCTGTTTGTGCCATAATTTACATGAACAATCTAGATCAGAGATGCCCAAACTAGAGCCCACAGGCCAAAGTTGGCCCTTTGTATCCTTTGATTTGGCCCGCCAAAGGGAAAATGATTGGTATGAGTTGGGGAGTGCCTTTAACAGAGATTCTCATTTCTATTTTCATTCATACATTTTCCTCCGGCTTAGTCCCTTTATTCATCAGGGGTCACCACAGCAGAATGAACCGCCAACGTATTCAGCAAATGTTTTACACAGCGAATGCCCTTCCAGCTGCAACCCAGTACTGGGAAACTCCTTTCTATTTAAATGCAACCTTTTGTTTTTTTGTTTGTTTTATTGATGAGCTACAAAAAAAACTAACTGAAATTAAATGTTAAATCAGATATTTAAAACAATTATAATTATATACTGTGACTTAACAAATAGGGGACAAAGCAGAAGACAACAGCAGGCAAATCAAGGCAAAGGCAGGTTCAGCTTGACTAGTGTATTCAGCATTAAACTAAATTGTTTGCATTTAAAAAAATCTTTGATGGTTTTATTTTAATACATTTGTAAAATATACATTTTCAAAAAATTAGAATGCATTAGTAAATATGATTAAAGAATGTTTAAAAATGTATTCATAAATATTATGAAACAAATTAGAAAATTACCCATGGCAACTTTAATATACTGTATGTAGTACAGTTTGGAATATTTACTTTCGGCTCACAGCTTTCAATAAAGCTTGGATTTTGGACCTTCATAAGAAAAAGTTTGTGCACCCCTGATCTAGACAATATATTGTTTTAGTCAAATAAAAATGTCAACAGGGCTGCACGGTGGCGCAGTGTGTAGCACGTTCGCCTCACAGCAAGAAGGTCGCTGGTTCGAGTCAGTTGGCATTTCTGTGTGGAGTTTGCATTTTCTCCTCATGGCATATTTCTTGGCATATTCCTCCGGGTGATCCGGTTTCCCCTTCATGTCCAAAGACATGTGGTACAGGGGAATTGAATAAGTTAAATTTGCTGTAGTGTATGAGTGTGAATGAGTGTGTATGGATGTTTCCCAGTGATGGGTTGCAGCTGGAAGGGCATCCGCTGCATAAAAACATATGCTGGATAAGTTGGCGGTTCATTCCGCTGTGGCAACTCCAGATTAATAAAGGGACTAAGCCGAAAACAAAATGAATGAAAAGTCACTTTGTTGAACTTTTCAACATCAAAAGTTGTCCGAGCAGACAGATCACTATTCCATAATGCCAATGAAAAGTGTCAATAAACACAAAACATAGCAGAACCATAAAATTTATATTTTACCGTTTAGCCTAGAAATGCTGTTATTAAATAATTTAGGTTTAAGATGCCAAGTAATTTTATTACTTAGTTACTTTATTATCAAGATATTTATAGGCATGTCATAACTATGTTATTGTGTTGATACTGCTGTAATAAAATGAGTAGTCTTAAAAAATAAACCAGTCATGATGTACATTGATAAAACTAAAAAGATTGACACACAAGGCTGAGAAAACACCCATAATATTACTGTGAGGTTCTGGAATGAGTTTAACCAAGAAAAACAAAAGCAAGAGAGAGAGCTGGGCACTGGGCCCAGGGTGAAGTTGTTCAGTCGGTCCAGGTCAGTAATGTTGTTCGGCTCTTATAAGCATGTAATGCTCAATATTCTCAGTCCTGCTGACATACTAGGTTTTCCTGGCACGACTGACGTTGACTTGAGAGCCAGAGATTAATATCATATTATCATTCTGTCCAACTGGGGCCTCTGAGACACTTTAATAAAAATTGACGTTATTTTTCAATGACCTTTTTAGTCTCTAAAAAAGACGGAAACATGCATTTATGCGCATAAAGGCACGCAGGAAAAGAAAGGTGTCAGCTTATTTGTGCTTGAACAGTTTCCTTCAGCATTGCCTGTGTGAGTTTTCCAGCTATGGTAATGTGAAGCTGTGGCTGCTGTAGCTGGCAGCCTGTCTGAGTCAAGTCAAACTGAGTTCCCACTGAGAGCTCAGCACAGAGCAGAGTTCAGCAAGAACAGGACAGACAGAAGCTCACAACTACGGAGATCATTTTCAAATGGAAAATAGATTTATTTGATTTTTTGAATAACTCAATTTGGATGTGCTCAGCGTCCTGTTCAGTGCAATTCTCATGTGCTTTTCAAGTAAATTAACTAAGACACCGATTTTGAGTCGAGCCATTAGTTTTCCAGAAACCATTTGGAAAAATAAGACTTTAAATGTACCATTTCAACTGTCATTTAAGTAAACTTAATCACCGGCCTGTGCCAGTGTGGTCTTTTTCTGTGTGGGAAGGGTGAACTGTTTTTTGTCAGGCGCAGCAATGTGACTGTTTTGCTCTTTTTTTTATTTTAGACTGGAACAATGTGGTCTTGGTACTGTGAAGGATCATGATGTCATGGCATGCATGATGTCAGCTGGACCAGGACACACTGTAACTATACTTGTGCCCTCTTGTAAACTGGACATCAGCACTAGAAAAAAAACCTTTGAGTGAATCAGTTCAATGGGTCATACAAATCCTAAAATGATTCGTTTTAGAAAAGTCAGTTCACTTGGCAGCCATTGTGCCACGGTTTCAGGTGTATAGGATCTAGTCCCTTCTATTTGAATCGGTGAATAGTAAAATGTAAAAAATAAGAAACTAATTCAGCTATAAAATCTGACAAGAACTGCCTTGTACATTTTACAATTTTACATTTTTATTTATTTTTTACAGTCATTGATTTTACTTCATACACACAAATGGCATTTAAAGTATGTTTCAGGTTGGTCAAGGCAATGCTAAGTGTAAGTCTGAGTTTTATATGGAAACCAAAGCTTTTAGCAGCAACTGAAGAATGACTTTACAATGACTACCATTTTGTAACTGGCTCTTATTTTTGCAGATGGTGGTTATTCTGCCATATTCCATATTGTGGTTTCTCCTATTAATAGTGATATGAGTTAAGCGTCTTGGTATATAGTATCTGGTTGTATACTGTTAAACAATCTCATTTGTTAGGTGTATGGCCATACACAATAAATGCGCTATATAAATACACATTACATTACATTATAGAAAAAAAATGTCAAAAAGCTTAATAATAATTATATCCCATATTAAATAAAAATATATTTCATACATATTTAGGGAAGTCCACAAATGAATAAGCAGAACTGATTACTTTCACAAAAGAAAAGTGTCAAGTAGGAAAAAATCATGGAGGGCATGAGTTGACTACAACTGGTACTAATCTTTCAGGAAATGGGTAATGGCAGATTACTGCCCATGACGGACGTATTACTGCAAGGTGAGGGCTTTACAAGCCTCTTTTGGACAGCTTGAAGAGTTTATATGGAAGGTTTTAAAACAAGGGGGCAGAACTGTCATATTATGTGCCAGTTAAGGAGCTTTGTTAAGCACAAGCAAGCCTTGAGTGTTTAGCACCTCAGCCAGAAGCAGACACTTGTGATGTGCAGCCTATGCTTTAAAGCGTGGATATTTATTGGTTGTCTTTTACAGTTTTAAGGGGCACAGGGGATGCCTTTAAGCAAAACAATAGCACAATTTCCTGAAAGTTATAGGAAAAAAACAATAGAATGAGGTGTAAACTAAAGAACATTTGTGGTGAACAGAATCTGTCTCTGAGCCCTAATGACATGCATCTAATCTTAAAATCTCAATTCAAGCAAATATGTGCAGGGGTGCTTGTTCTGGTGGACACATTGTTCAGTCTGCTCCAACCACGGCATCCCTCAAGAGCGATGTTTAAGCACAACAGCTCACTCTGCTCAAATGGCCTGAAATCTTTATTCCATGTGGCAGGAAATGGAAAGTCTTTCCACACAGGGGCAATTCTGGGGAGACATGCCTGCACACTACAAAAGCAACTGCTGTCCAGACCACATGCGCCACTGATAAAGTCCAATAACGCACAAATACTAGTCTACTTACATGCTTAATGCTGTCCTAATAAATGCTGTCTTAGGGTTATGATATGTCAAAGATTTATGTAATTTTTCATGAAGGAGTAAATGGATCAAAATACGTGTTAAGCAATGTGCTGGTAGCGAACATTCCAGCACCACCCCTTCTGCTGCTGGATGGAGCATTTAGATGAATATGCAATACACTCTCCAGCCACTCTATTAGATACACCTTACTAGTACCAGCTTGAACCCCCTTTTGCCTTCAGAATTGTCTTAATCCTTCGTGGCAGAGATTCAACAAGGTATTGGAAATATTCCTCAGAGATTTTGGTCCATATTGACATGATAGCATCATGCAGTTGCTGCAGATTTGTTGGCTTCACATCCATGATGCGAATCTCCCGTTCCACCACATCCCAAAGGTGCTCTATTGGATTGAGATCTGGTGACCGTGGAGGCAACAAGGTACAGTAAATTCATTGTCATGTTTTGGAAAACCAGAGATGATCCACGGTCTGGCCATTTTCCTCTGACCTCTGTCATAAACAAGGCATTTGCGCCCAAAAAACTGCCATTCACTGGATATTTTCTCTCTTTAGGACCATTCTCTATAAACTCTAGAGTTGGTTATGCAAGGAAATCCCTGTAGATCAGCAGTTTCTGAAATACTCAGACCGGCCTTTCTGGCACCAACAACCATGCCATGTTCAAAGTTACTTAAATCACCTTTCTTCCCCATTCTGATGCTCGATTTGAACTGCAGCAGATCATCTTGACCATCTCTACATGCCTAAATGCATTGATTTGTAGCCATGTGATTGGCTGATTAGAAATTTGCATTAACGAGCAGTTGGACAGGTGTACCTAATAAAGTGACCGATGAGCATATGTATTGTGTACTTTCCTCTAACATCGGTAAGAAAGCAGCAGTTAGGTAAGTGTGCATGTGTATGTTTTTCACAAGCTGCACCACTCAAGTCATATATGTTTGCTACATAGGACTTGATGCAATAGTTTGCGGATTCATTCTTCATTTTGTTTGAACTACTCTATATCATGCGAAAACCCATTAAGTGTAAATTAATCAAGATTGTAATTACAACGTCAAACTGACAGCAGATCTGAACTGATCTTAACTGCAATTTTATACAAAAAATGTATTAAAAAATTACTGGTTTACCAAACAGTACAGGCCTAATAACGGTCCTTCTCTCTGAACTACAAAATAGTAATTATTTATAGAGGGAAAACTAAAGATGAATAATACAAAGACTTTGCTAATGATGCCAAATAGAATATGATGATGAACCCACCATTAAGGAAGAGCTCCTCCTGCAGAGCCTGTCTGGCCTCAGAGGAAAAGCAGCGTTTCTTCAGCCAGTCAGGATCAAACTCACTGCTGTGCTGATCAGGCCAAGTTATGGACACCTACAATGAATTTAGGAAAAACAAGTTTAAGAACTGTTAGACAATTATAAACAGCAATCATCACAGTAGCAAACTGTCTGCACTTTGTTTGTTTTGCTGATCCCCAACAGACATCCCGCTGACTATAAGTAACAAGCATGTCAATTTACTTTACAACTCTAAATTAGTTCTAATGAGAGTTAGTTAGTTAGTTAGTTAGTTAGTTAGTTAGTTGTAAATGTACTTTATATAGTCAACAGGATGTCTATAGGAGCCCTTCAAAATAAAGCTTACCAAGACCAACCTTATTATCCATCAGTTGTACGTGATCCATCCCGGTGTGCACGTCCAGATGTGAGAACAGCAGGCTGCGTGCTTGAGCCGACTGCAGCGTACAGAGCGGACACTGGCAGTTATCCCTCAACCAGGTGAATGGATACAAACTACAGCTCCCATCATCCCAGTCGATCTGCAGTAATCTCTCCTGATCCAGTGCCCGGGCCTGTCTCACTCCTGGACTGCCCCCAGCAAAGGGCAGAGGAGCCGCTGCCAAAGTCTGATTGCCGATACGAGGTGTCTTGACCAGTTGAGGCCGACTGCTTGTTCCTTTTAGAGCCTGGACAGCACCTCTGGACACCCAGCGAGCAAGATAGGACAACATCCTGATCCGTGAATAGCTGCTGCTAGTTTGACGAAACACACGGTGAGGTTATTGCGTTCATACAACATCCACGCCCCTTCACATTACCTTTCCTCCACAAATTTGATCAGTCACTGCAGTGGAATGTACTGTTACGTAAACTATGATTTATGTAAGTGGCACACAGGTGTACAACAAGCTGCTCAGCACTACTATCATGCAAATACAAAACCTTTTGCCTTTAGAATAATAGTTGGTAGTTTATTAGTTGTTTGTTTTTTTATTTATTAACAAAATTGTATGCTTTTATTAAATAAAATGTGTCATGTAATTAACTATTCTAAAAATTATTGTCAGTGAGGGTGTGCTTGCTACGGTTAGCAGCTTTACAATAGTTTTGCTGAATATTTTTGCTTGCAACTGCTTGCAGAATGATTACACACCACCTTTCATATATGTTTGGGGTCAGATCTTCTTCTTTTTTTCTTTGGTGTCCTACTGTGATCATACAGATCTCATTGTAATACGCTGATTTAATGCAAATCAGACATTTTTATTATTATCAGTATTAAAGAGTTGTGTTGCTTAATGTTATAAAAAAGCTGAGCTCACACTGGATGAATCATTAATGCAATGACGTCATCCAGAATGACTCTCAGGAAGCCTATCTTTGACAACACTTAATACAAACAGTGTTACATCAAGGTAACTAAGATAAAGTGAGCTAATCAGGGCTAAGGTGCCCTGATTTTAGCACTGCCATGATTAACTGAGCATCAATCCAAGCTGCGCTAACAGGACACATTTCTGGGCACTATTTCAAAGAAACACTCAAGGATACGTTTATGATGTATTTCATCACCAAAGCAATAAACCATGGTTTGAACCATGATGAATTTAAATACACAACACTCATTAAAATTTTTGTAATGATAATAATAATAACAACAAATACACTGATAACCTATAGGACTGTATTTTATGCAAATCTAAAATTAGACATGTTGATATTTTGTAATAAAATATGAACGTGATAACTTTTACATGTTAATTTAGGCTATTTGCTATTGTAAACATTTGTTTACTCTGATTATTTATATACAAGTAATCTCACACATCCACAAATGCCTGAAATTTCAGATCAATTACAGTTAGTTTATTCCATTTGCAGCCATAGTTTATCATGGGCTTTATACAATTATTTAAAATATTGTGTTTTTCTAATTATGTATGAAAATTATATGCTAGCAAAACAATATAAAGCATTTTTAAGCACTTTAATATAAAGCATTTGATAAAATATTCATGAAGTATTCTTTTTTAATTTTACATGTATAATATTTACCAGTTTTCTCGTTTCACAAATAAAAGAGAGAGATTAGAATTTAATGCTATATCAGCTTCTCTGGCTATTTCATGGCAACACCAGATCAAATTTCCAACATTTTATATATTAAAATAACTCTTCTATAATAAAAAATATATAATAACTATTAAATACAGAAGCTAAATTACAGTAAAAAGACATCAACTGCAATAAATAATGCAGAAGATAATCTAGAACAGTTTTTTTAAGGTTTTAATTACAAAAATTATAGCTTGTCAGGCAGCAATGATAATCATATTTGTTGTGCCAATATATAAATATTATAAACAACTAGTTCAGTGTACCCTAAACAGACCTTTGAGCACTGGTTATGTAATATGCAATCACCTTTGTTCATGTGACCTAACGTCTCCGAGAACACGGAAGTAGGTGAAAGGTCAGCATTACTTTCTTCCCAAAATAAGGACAATTGCCGCCTCCAGCGTTACGACAGCAAGTACACACACAAACACTGGGGGGAATCAAACCAGCTCTATCATTTTCTATATAATGAATAGACTTATTAGTAAAACATTAATCTGCCTTTGTTGTTTCCGGCTATTTGTAGTACTCGCCCTCTTTCTTGCCCGCTTTGTAAATGATTTGTGGATATGACTAAAGCAGGTCTTTCATTCATAAAATCCTACACGCGCCATTAGGATGTCAAAAGTATGACGCGTACAGTAAACACAAGCAAGCTAAGCGATTTTTCATTCATCAGCCAGTTACGTGCGAGCTTCACGTTACCAGCCACTGTATTTCATATTTGATATTTATGAAATGAGAAAACGTAAAAGCCATTTCACTTACCGTGAAGACGTGGGTAATGTCGCCGCGGTTATCAGCCTTATATAGTGCTGAGAAGTGTGAGAACTCGCTGTGCTGGAAGTGGGTGAAGGGTCACGCGCACCAAAGCGCTGCTACACACAACACAAAGTAATCATCCTGATGTGTGCGCGCACTGGATCTGACACAATTACGTGCAGCTTTGCTCGACAACAGTTCTGCTCAATACTTGTTTTTTTTGTAACTGCATTTTATAGGACCTGTCATGTGGATTATCTACCAGGCCTATAATTACTGTACTGCATGCTATACATATATGCAGATGTGTGGATTAAATTGCATTAATAATTTAGGCTATATTACAATGTTAAGTATATATGCATACGTTCTAAGAAACAATGTATTGATAGATAGATAGATAGATAGATAGATAGATAGATAGATAGATAGATAGATAGATAGATAGATAGATAGATAGATAAAAATGTTTAGAGCATTTGAAAGTGTTGCCATGTATAAGCTGTACAAAATAATAAAATGGAAGTTACCTATACTGATATGACCAAGTTAGCCAAGTTACTGACCAGGCTTTAGCAACACATTTTAACCCTTGTGTGCTGTTGGGGATATTTTCTCCTCTGGGGTGATTTTGAGTATTAATATGGCCACAACTTCACTTGTGTTTCAGCAAAAGCAATGATTTTGGTAACAAATTATTTTTACACATATTTTGGGAAAATGCTTTGAAAAAATCTCAATACACTCTGGGCAAATTTACTACCCTTTCTTTATGATAGTGGCTGTTTTTGCCCAATCGAGCTTCCATTAGAATGGCATTTTTTTGCAAAGCGCTGACACTATAGTATCATGCATCCTTTGTTGTTAATTTTCACTATTGGGAAGAGATAAAATGTTAAATTTTTTAGTCCCCATTTTATATATATATTTTTAATATTTCCTAAATAATATTTAAGAGAGCAAAAAAATTTTCACAGTATGTCTGATGATATTTTTTCTTCTAGAAAAAGTATTTTTTTTAAAGCTACAATTAAAGCAGATTTAATTTTTTAAAACACTATTTTAAGGTCAAAATTATCAGCCCCTTTAAGCATTTTTTCCCGATAGTCTACAGACCAAACCATCATTATAACTTTCCAAATTACCGTATCCTGCCTTGTCAGCTTAATTAACCTAGTTAAGCCTTTAAATGTCACTTTAAGCTGTACAGAAGTGTCTTGAAAAATATCTAGTCAAATAATATTTACTGTCATCATGACAAAGATAAAATAAATCAGTTATTAGAAAATGAGTTATTAAAACTATTCTGTTTAGAAATGTGTTCCCCAAACAGAAATTGAGGAAAAATAAGCAAGGGGCTAATAATTCACACTATATATATAAATATATATATATATATATATATATATATATATATATATATATATATATATATATATATATATATATATATATATATACACACACACACACACACACACACACACAGTAGAAGTCAGAATTATTAGCCCCCTGTTCAATTTTTCTCCAATTTCTGTTTAACAAAGAGAAGATCACATTTTTAAACATAATAGTAACTCATTTCTAATAACTGATTTATTTTATCTTTGCCCTGATGATGGTAATTAATATTTTACTAGATATTTTTCAAGACTTCTATACAGCTTAAAGTGACATTCAAAGGCTTAACTAGGTTAATCAGGTTAATTAGGCAAGTTATTGTTTAATGATGGTTTGTTCTGTAGACTATCAGAAAAAATATATAGCTTTAGGGGGGCCAATACTATTGACCTTAAATGGTTTATAAAAAAATAAAAACTGCTTTCATTATACCCGAACTAAAACAAATAAGACTTTCTCCAGAAGAAAAAATATTATCAGACATACTGTGAAAATTTCCTTACTCTGTTAAACATCATTTGGGAAATATTTAAGAAAAAAAAATTAAAGAGGGTTTAATCACTCTGACTTCAATATATATATATATATATATATATATATATACTGAAAAACATAAATAAATAAAGGGAACACTTAAACAACACAATGTAACTCTAAGCCAATCACACTTCTGTGTTATCAAACTGCCCACTAAAGCCATGGTCATACTGGAGTTTGTGCTTTTGAAGTTCTGTCGTAGTTCTGTCTTTCTGGCTGATGTTTTGGTCCTTTTTGAATGCTGGCGGTGCTTTCACTCAAGTGGTAGCATGAGTCGTCAAGTCACACAAGTGGCTCAAGTAGTGCAGTTCATCCAAGACAAGGTTTGCTGAGTCTGTCAGTGTAGTTTCCAGAGCATGGAGGCACTACCAGAAAACAAGCCGGTACAATACATCAGGAGACATGGAGGCCATAGGAGGGCAACAACCCAGCAGCAGAACTACTACCTCCACCTTTGTGCAAGGAGGAACAGGAGAAAAAATGCCAGAGCCCTGAAAAGAGACCACCAGAAGGTGCCAAATCTGCATGTCTACTTAAACGGTCAGAAACAGACTCCATGATGGTGTTATGAGGGCCCGACATCCACAGGTGGGGGTTGTGCTTGCAGCTCAACACTGTGCAGGATGTTTGGCATTTGCCAGAGAACACCAAGATTGTCAAATTCGCCACTGATGCTCTTCACAGATGAAAGCAGGTTCACACTGAGCATGTGACAGAGTCTATGGAGAATGTTCTGCTGCATGCACCATCCTCTAGCATGACCAGTTTGGCAGTGGGTCAGAATTGGTGTGAGGTGGCATTTCTTTGGACAGCTGCACAGCCCTCCATGTGCTTGCCAGAGGTAGCCTGACAGCCATTTGGTACCAAGGTGAGATTCTCAGACCCCTTGTGAGATTATATGCCAGTGTGGTTGGCCCTGGGTTCCTTTTAATGCAAGACAAAGCTAGACCACATGTGGCTGGAGTGTGTCAGCAGTTCTTGCAAGACGAAGGCATTGATTCTATGGACTTGCATGCCCATTACCCAGTCCGAATCTAATTAAGCACATCTGGGACATCCTGTCTCGCTCCATCCACTAACGCCATATTGCACCACAGACTATCCAGGAGTTGTCGGATGCTTTAGCGCAGGCCTGGAAGGAGAGCCCTCAGGAGACCATCAGCATGTCCAGGTGTTGTAGGAAGGTCATACAGGCATACACACTACTGAGCCTCATTTTGACTTGTTTTAATGACATCACATCAAAGTTAGCTGAGCTTGTAGTGTGTTTTTCCATTTAAATTTTGCATGTGACTCCAAATCCAGACCACTGTGGGTTAATAAATTTGATTTCCATTAATCATTTTTGTGTGATTTTTTTTGTGTGATTTCAGCATATTCAACTATGTAAACAACCAAGTATTTAATAGGAATATTTTATTCATTCAGATCTAGGATGTGTTATTTAAGTGTTCCCTTTACTTTTTAAGCCATATTTACAGTGTTATTTATTTATTTTTATTTATTTATTTATTTTTAATAGTTTTGGGTCTCCCTCATCAGTGTCAATTTCTTTATTCAGATATTGAAAACACTATAACAATTTTCCAAAGTTTAGCAAACACTATAGCAAGTTTCCATCTTGTTGAATTGTTTGCATGTTTATGAGTAAAAGTCCCACTGTGAGGCTGATGTCCTGTTTTGACCATTTTTACATAAATCGCAAATGTAATTTAATCCAGCAAATATTTATATGGATTACAGGACAAGATGTGTAATTTTTTTTTTAAACGAACAATTCTTTTAAAACTTTGTTATTGCACTCTTTTATTGCACTCTCTTTCTCACATACACACACAAACTGTCTTGTAGATTTTTATTACAAAAAGGAGCATACACAACATACATCTCAGGAATGGAACTACACATTATACAACGCTTCAAGTCCAATATTCCTGCCCGCAGTCATCTTGGTTTGTCTGGGTTATGTCAGCCCAGATGGTCCTTTTCCCATTACCTTTCATAGGGTTACAAGAATACTTAATGCAACACAAACAGTTTTATAAATCCAATGCAGTTAAGCTTTTTCATAAATATAAAAACTCACAGTTGAATATTTTAAAAGCTCATTTTAAAATATATAAATTTCTTAGGGCACACAAACACATAACATGTACAAAGAAAAGCAAATGTTTTTCTTCCTCCAAGACTCTCATATAAAGTAATATTAATGATGATTTCTGTTTTAATAAGTTTATGCCGTTTTCTTGTGGAGGATTGTCAGATTGAATACTTCGATTAAGTACATGCTCTCATAACATTCTAAATATGGATATGACAGCTAACATTTTGTACAATGAAAACTATATTCCTTCTGTTTAACCGGTGTGAGTTTTCTCTGAAACATTCAAGTAATGCCAATGCAAATAAGCAAATGTTTCCACAAACACAGCGTACATCATTATCTGAGAAAATAACAAGAAACTCAACACTGAATCCCAGTGCTCTGTATGTCTCCTCTCAGAGGTAAGACTATGTTGGTTAGACTGAGATTCCAGTCATATTATCATGATCTGCAAATTACATTAGACTAAGGACTCAATGGCAGTAAGACTGCCAAGTTTGAAGCGTTTAATGGCTGTCCATCATGTGCGATTGCTGCTATTAAGTGAAAACCGGCTTTCATTTATTGCACAATAGCTGCATCATTCTCTTCCAAGTAGCTACATAGAAAAAAATGTATTCCTGAAAAAATGTGTTGCATATTTGTATGTTACTATTACTCATTTTTAAAGCAATCTGATTGTGGCTTATATATTTTCGGTAACATATTTAAATATTATTTGCAGCTACTCTATTGCAAGTGATTCAATAGATATGTTTGGTTTTCCTCCCACAACCCTTAGAAATAAAGGTACATGAGCTGTCACTGGGGCGGTACCTTTTTAAAAGGTACACATTTTTACTTAAAGGGTTCATATTGGTACCTTTAAAGTATATATTAATTCCTAAAAATATTAAAAGGAACAGTTTTGTACTTTTTAGGTACTAAATGTACCCTTGAGGTATTAATATGGACCTTTTAAGTACAAATTTGTACCCTTTGACCACCCCAGTGACAGCTTGTGTACCTTTTTTTCTGAGAGTGTACACTGTAAAAAAAAAATCCTGGTTGCCTTACATGTTTAAGCTGAATCAAATGAACCCTATGAGTCCATTGAACTTGAAACTTTGAAAGAACCATTGAAACTTAGTTTAATAAGCTGCAATGAATTAAAAACATGCTGTCAAGACTAATTGTTCATATACATTTTTACAGTGTACACTGAAAAAAGGGATTCATTGGATTTATTATTTTTTTTAGGTTAAGTGGTTGTTAACAATTTATATAGGATGAGTTTAAACAAACCAAATAAATTTTGTAATTAAGTTTTAGTAAAAACTTAACTTGTTTGTTTAAATCCAGCTTAAAAAATTGTTTGCAACAATTTGCAATGAAGCATTTTTCATACATTTAACTGGGACATCAATTCACTCCTGATATGTAGTAGTAACTCGATAGTTTCCAGTGTTCTAGTATTTACTAATGGACAGCTATTATACTTCCGTTTAATAAACGAGGGCATGCTTTGCAAAAAAATAAAGGTAACAAGGAGAATCTAAAGGGTTTATCGCAGTGTTGCAATAAGTACATTTGGTTTGTACCACAAAGAACCTTGAAGAGAGTGAAAAGTATTTGGGAGTATTAGTATTAGTATTCTTTGGGAAGAACCTTACTGTTGAGTTACTGGGATGATTAGCAATAACAACTGAGATAGATAATTATGTTTATTTTGTAGTGAATGTATACAAACAGTACAGTAGCCTACTTGTTAGGTTTAGTTTTGAAACGTTTACTCAGAACTTTAATATGTAGGCTAGTAGCATGGTGAAATTAGTTATTTACTAAATAACAAGTACAAGTAACATACAATTGAATAGGTACCAGTTGGAAGGAATGACTGCTTTGCCATTGAGATTATCGGGCTACATACTAAAGGCAGTTGTCTACACCTTCATATAGTCGTTCTTCAGGCGGCTCAGGCGGGTCCCGTGACTGCGGATGATGAGTGACAGCAGCTCGTGCTTGTCCTTCAGCCCCAGTGAGATGTCCAGCGTCTCCTTCAGCACGTCGCGCGTGTGCACGATCATATTGAGGAAGTCGTCGCTGATCTTGTGCTCCTCTTTCAGCTCGTTTTCCTGGCTCTGTTTGAACTTCACCTCCAGCTCCAGAAGGGATTTCTCGGAGTTGGAAAACGCCTCGCTGATCTGGGTCGTCTCCCGTCTGAGATATTTCCCATAGCTGTCCTCTCCGTCGAGGTCGAAGGAGATGCTCTTCCCAATGCCCTCAAGTACCCGCGCGGCGTCCTCGATGTGCCGCTTGATAATAGTGAAATCATCCCGGATCACCGAGTCTTGGTCCTCGTCCAGGGTGCATTTGCGATTGTCCATCATTTTGAAGAGCATCTGACATTTCTCGGGATCGTCGTTTTCTTCATAGTAGCCGTCTGGCACGAAATAATGATGAAACGTGCCGTTGGACATCTCTGGATACAGGGGTCCCGCAAAAAAGGCTCCTCCGACACGCATTGAGAGCAGACAGGCTATCAGTATGAACAGAGGGGAAGCCATCGTACCCATCTCCCTTATCACAGTCAATAATAGGCTACCTTCAGCTCTGCTTTACAAACTTCACACAAACTCTCCAGCCCCACGCATGTCCAGAGCGTAAAATGCCGAGCAAAGCCGACAGGAAACAGCTCAAACAAACAGAAGCGTCCTTAGTTTGAGATTGCGGTTACGTTTTCCTGCGTTTTTGGCGAATTCTACATGCGTGAACCGCATACACGCTCGCCCTGTCCTTCCTCGTGTCTGTTTCAACATCTGGACCGTTCAGACTGTGCGCTAGGTTTAGATAATAATACCCCCGGTCAGACTCTCAAATTACAAGCCCGTCACTCCTTCACTTAAAAGGCAGCACACATAACTGGCAGCATACATTACAGGGGCTGTCATTAAAGGAACATGAGTTTGCACGAGCTTTTAGAGCTCCTGAAAGGCACTAAAACTTAGAATTGGGCTGGACGTCGAAAGAATTTCAGCAATAAAATTAATGAATAAGTAATGTCTCCATGTTCAGTTTAATTGCTAAACTCCTTACAAATCTAATAAAAGTACAAGATTATAGCCTAGGTGGGTGTGGTTAAAATTATTAAAGGTGCATTTTACCTTATAAGAAATATATAAAAATTAGGTGTTTATTTACTCAGGTTTCAGTACTGGGATGCAGTAGGAAAGTGTGTAAAACATATGCTTGATAAGTTGGAGGTTAATTCCGCTGCATGTCTAAAACCCCTGATGACCAAAGAGACCAAGCTAAAAGAAAATGAATGAATGAATGAATTTACTCAGGCTATTGAAGATGTAGTAAACTTTTTTACTACTTCAGCTAAACATCAAAGATGCATTTTAGATGAAGCCATTGTATTTTATGATTCATAAAATACAAGCCTTAGGTAACACCACTTTGAGAGTAAAAAAAGTCATACTGACAAAACAATATTAATATAGCTCCAAAGTATACATCAAAAACATATTGTATCATTTTGCTTCATAAGATATCAATGTATTATGTGGAGCAACAAGGATTCATTTTATTTTGCTTGTATGGGTTTTGAATCATGAGGTAGTGTGTTCTAATCAAGAAAAATAACATGCAACATTTGTATAAATGCTGAACATTTAAAATCTGATCATGAGCACTGCAAAAAAAGCTAATAAAAATAAAAAATCTATAACATTGCATTAAATCTAAAACAACCAAGTAATTGTAAGTTATTTTGTTTAATTGTTGGTAAATATGGACAAATGGCCAATGCCTGGGTTAAAACATCTAATTAAAAATGAACTGAAGCATTGGATTGGTTATTATTTTACTCCAAAATTTGGGCTTAAACATCCCAGCACATTTTAGATTACTTTTATTTTGAATATTTGTTTGTATATACAGATTTTAATTTTAAAAAATGGTTGGGTCACATCTCAGAAGCATGTATGCCTTCTTTTTTCAAATTTTCTCTCTTTTAAACTCTCAGTTTAATGTTAAATGCTAAAAAATACAAGAACAGTGACATGGCAGAACGGTGGTGCAGTGGGTAGCGAAATCGCCTCACAGCAAGAAGGTCGCTGGTTCAAGCCCAGGCTGGGTCAGTTGGCATTTCTGTGTGGAGTTTGCATGTTCTCCTTGTGTTAGCATGGGTTACCTCCTGGTGCTCCAGTTTCACCCACAAGTCTAAAAACATGTGTGATATACGGAATTGGGTAAGCTAAATTGTCCGTTGTGTGTGTGTTTTTGAATGAGTGTTTGTGGATGTTTCCCAGTGATGGGTTGCAGCTGGAAGGGCATCTGCTGCATAAAACATAGGCAGGATAAGTTGGCTGATCATTCCACAGTGGCGACCCCAGATTAAAAAAGAAACAGCCGAAAAGAGAATGAATAAATGAGTGACATGTATGAAAGTTAGTCAAGAGTTCAAGAGCCCTGGGCCATCCTAATTTAGGACAATAGCAGACACTACAGATGGCCACCGTGCATCCTTCTCCTTCAATTTGTCTTGGAGGTGTGTCTGACAGGCTTCTGAAAAGAGGGTGCTCTCTTCATACTGGAGGTCTTCATTCCCATAGACAGGTCTCCCGGCTCCATGTGCCGATTACCTAAAGAGGATGGCTGAGTGATGACGAAAGGTCGTGACAGAGCGTGAGACTAAGCAGGAGCTGTTCTGCTTCGGCATCAAGATGTGCTACTCGTCAGCTTTCCTCTGAGGGCCCCTGTAGAGAGAGTCAGCAGTGAGCTCACACTTATATACTCCGTCCACTTTTATTAAGCCCAAGGCATTAATGAACCACGCATTCCAAGAAAAGCAGACAAACATTTTGTGGAAACTTGTCGCAAAAGCCGTGATGTCATATATGATATATGAAGATGGATTCTGGAATCCTCTCCAAGAACTGGATCACAAAGTATCACAGCAGAGCGTCGGCCATCGTTTGCTCGGCCTTGTTGGATTTACAACCGTCTTTCATCATTTTTACAGACACTGTTCAGACACTGCCAGCATGCTTTTATTTCACCATATGGCTCTTAAGCAAACACATATACCCACACACCAACAGACAACTCCACCCCACACAACACAAACCTTTCAAGACGCTCACATGTGTTTTTTTACAACATTAAATCCTTGGCAAATAGCCTCTCAGTCTGGTATTTGTCTGTGAATGAGGTCATAGGGAATACCGCTGTGATGTATCTTCATTATGGCACGGATGTGTGCCCTACCATCTCATTGATAGCAAAAAGTGGACTTCCTGTTGAATAATAGCTCTCCCTTCAACCCTATTAAAAATCACCACAGATGCAGAATGAACAAGAGCTAGAATGGAGAAAAGCAGGGAGTAAATCAGAGTCCGTGTGTGAAGAGAGAAAGAAAAGGAGGCTTGTTTTCCACTCCACTGGAAGTTGTTCCACTAAAATCTATTCTTTAAAGAGTGCTTCACTTTTATGGTCTTCTCAGACGCCGTATACCCCCCTTTGAACCTGGTTCCCCCAATGTTCCTACAGCAGATATCCACTACAAGGGGCCGTCTCTCCCTCTCTCCACACATAGCCCGTCTCTTAAACCCCAGTGGATGGAATGATGCCAGCTCCTGGAGAACTTCCCCCACTGTTGCCCTGCTAATGATCTTAATAACTGGGGTCTTCAAGTAATGGCAACTTCCTTTCACTTTATAGAAAGTTTTAATTTAGCATCAGTTTTAAACACATGTACAATGATGATTATAACCAATCTGTGGCTAAGAATCATGTGAGTTACACACTTCCGCCAGGATTTTCACACACAAAAAATGGATCTTAAATACTATTGAATCATCATGGTGTCTTTGGGCGGGCCTCTTAAGAAAATGATGGCTGCACACAGTTCCTTTGTGGTTGAACTGAATTCATGCCATAAGCTTGGCAAGGATAAAATGGGCACTGACTTAAATGCCATGAACCTTGCCTGAACTGGAACTCCAGGCCAGTTGTAATCTTTAGAGGGAAGAATTATGGGAGAACAGTTGTTTCGTCATTAATCCATGGTATTTTCCGCTGGGCAATAAGAGTCAATTATTGAAGCTTTTGAGCAAGATGCTCATAAAAGGTGCAGATGCTGGGGAACATGGCCAGTGTGCCAATGAAACAGAATACACCAACATCATGCCCTACACAACCTATTAGAAGAAGATCAATAGGTTCAGGCACAGAGTATAAAAAGCATAATATTAAAATAACAGTTTAAACAAAAAGATGAATATTGCATCAGCTTTTGCTTACATTTATGACATTAGCCACATAAACCCTGTAAAGCTGAAGGATTGACAACTATACAGTACATTTAATGAGTGATTTTTTTTTTCTAAAATATTATTTTAAGACATTACGGAACATGACTCATTACCTAACTTGTGACGATTAACACCTTGGTAACCGCAGCAATGCTCTGGCTTTTAGCATGTTTAGTGTAGCATACACTATTTAAAAAATAGATATTACAGCATTGGGGCGGTAAGTGGTTAGTACAGTTGCCTTACAACAAGAAGGTCCACTGTGTACAACAATTGGCAGAGAAAATGCTGGTTCGGTGCAGTGACGGCCCCTGATAAAGCAGGTAATAAGCTAAAGGAAAGTGAGTATTACAGCACCCAAAGGCATGGAATTGTCCTTAATTTTAACTAAACCATGTTTGGAAGGCTGCTTTGAAGATTGATCTCTAGATGTCTTTTCATGAGAAAGAGTTTTAGGGTTTGGCCCTGTTCTTAGTTGCTGCTTTAGCTAGGCAGATCTAGCAACCCCAAGAAGTGTCTTCTTTCATTCATTCATTCATTCATTCGTTCATTCATTCATTCATTTATTCATTCATTCATTCATTTTCCTTCGGCTTAGTCCCTTATTTATCAGGGGTTGCCACCGCGGAATAAACTCCCAACTATTACGGCATATGTTTTACGCAGAGGATCTCTTCGGGCTGCAACCCAGAACTAGGAAAAACCCATACACTCTATCATTCATACACACACTCATACACTACGGCCAGTTTAGTTAATCCAATTCACTTATAGCACTCGGAGGAAAGCCACACGAACACGGGGAGAACATGCAAACTCCTTACAGAAATGCCAACTGACTCAGCCAGGACTCAAACCAGCGATCTTCTTGTTGTGAGGCTACAGTGCTAATCACTGAGCCACCACACTTCCTGTATCTTTATTGGGGTTTTTTGTTTTGTTTTTGCACTTCGCATATAAACTTAGCAATGTGTTTAAATTTGTCATTGACAACTAGATGTCGAATTCTATACAGACAGAAGAGAAGTTTTTGCACACGTGTTTGCCACTACTGTAAATGACAGAAAATGATCAAGCATTAAAAGGTCAACTGACAAGCAAATTTAGTAGCAGTGTGTATGTAACTATTCATTCTCAAATGGAGAAATGGTGATGATGTTGTTTTATAATTATGATGAATGAGCTGAAACACATTAAGCCTAAAAAAAGACAGAACCTCGAAGTTGTCATGAAAGTGGTTCATTTAAATCAATGTACTGCCACAGCAGTACATTACAGCAAAGCAAACTATTATTCACTGTCTGCTAATCTTTCCCTCCAGTAAGCTGCGAACTGCTGACTGGCTCAATGAGTCAGTTACTTGACCTTATGAATGAATCATTCAGACATGTTCTGTGAACTGAATCATTTGATTCACTGAAAACTGAACTTAATTCTCAGAGCCTAAAAATAATGGATTAACATTCACAGAGTGATCTTTTTCTTACAAAATGC